TCATGATACACAGTTGTGTGTATGCTCAAGGAAGAAAAACTTTCTTTCCAAGTCACATGGTATTAAGGAATCCCACTTTCTTAGAATTCTCCACGGTTTCTCATAAGTAGAATCTAACTAGATTCTAACAATCTCCCCATTTGTCATTGATTGGTCAGAACATTTACTCCCCCTAAATATATCGTACCTGCATGAACAAGGATTAGCAAATTCAACAAAAAAATATTCCTGGTCATCAACAACTTAGAAAAGCATATAGTTAAAATTGTTCAATTAAGCAGGGAACAACAAAAAAATATGCAGTAGCAGAATCAACTTCCCTTTACAATCAATTCCTGCTTGGTTTACTGTTCCAGCAACTGTCGAATGAACTGTCTCAACAGTTGTCTGAACTCCCCATGTATTTCAGCACTGTTCCAGCAACTGTCTAGTGCACTGTGGCAATAGTTGTTTGAACTCCCACTGTGTTCATGCCAGCTTTACTGTTCTTTTCTCCCCCTTTCTGGGCAATCACCATGCATAGATAAATCAACATGGACTAATGATCTTGATGTGTCGAGCAAATCTATTCAAACACTTAACAAAAAGATCAAACGAAGAGAGAATCCTGAAAGTAAGTGAGAAGAATCACCATACATAACGTACGCACAAAATCACAAACTCCCAACTCAATACCACACGATAATTGCAATACGAAAACCAAAAGATATTGATATAGAATCCAACATCAAATAACAAAGACTACAAACTTTGCCAAACTACGTACGAAACGTGGAAATGTGAGTAGTAGGCCCAATAGATCCGGTTGCAACAAAAAAATTAAATTTAAGCGGCACATAAACAAAAATCTCGTCTCTCTCTCTCTCTCTCTCTCTCTCTCTCTCTCTCTCTCTCTCTCTCTCTCTCTCTCTCTCTCTCTCTCTCTCTCTCTCTCTCTCTCTCTCTCTCTCTCTCTCTCTCTCTCTTAATAAATAATGCCTAATGCAAGACAAGAAGTAAACATGAGAAATCAACATGAGTGAAGAGACATATGTGAATAGGATACTGCATGGACAAACAAAACATATGGGATTTATCTTCACAATCACGATAAGCGCAATCCCTAAAAATCCGACTGCCAATGCAACCAATAAACTTAATAATCTCAAGTTAAACACAAAGATGATCTTATTAGGTAGCGTACAGACACGCCCAGTGGTAGCTGTTTCCCATGAATAACAGAGCAATTATAGAGACGAGATTATAGTGGCCGTGCAATGTGTAGTCCCCTGGACTTTCTAATTGAGCCTTGTAATGAGTGTTCGGTCAAATGGTTTACTGGCTCGACTCAACTAGGCTTCGAACTATTCACTAACCAGATATATAGAATTTATATCGGTCGTTCAATGTGAGTCCCCTGGGCTTTCTAATTGAGCCTTGTAGCGAGCTGTCGGCCAAGTGATTTACTGACTTGACTCAAAAAGGCTCGAACTAATCACTGACCAAATTGAGGTAAATTGATGTGCATATATATAGGTAATAGCAATCCAAGAGTAGCTTTCACTCAATGAAAGATGTAGCTTTTCCCTATAAAAACATCCAACCATGACAAGACTACTTAGAGAAATAAATAAGTTGGAGCCTTTTAAGTAATCATTTTGGGAATTGGTGAAGTTCTACCCCCACAAAGTTTAGAAGTATACGAAGTATCAAATTCACATTTGTCTCAATAATATGCAGTATGCTTAATGCAGGTCATATATGAGATGCAAAAACATATGAAGTGTCCTACCACTAAAAATTGCAAGTCTGGACACACAGACTGTTGGAACAGTTCATGCAACTGCATCAGATTAAACAACATAAATTCCCAACGGTTTTTGCAAGGAATCAAATATCTGTGCATCAAGGGTTTTTGCAAAAGCATCTGTTAATTCATTCTCCGTTGCAACATCATCAATTGAGACAACCCCCTTTTCAACCAAGCCCCTTATAAAACGATGACAAATATCAATAAGCTTAGTTCTTGAATGTTGAATTGGATTCATAGAATTATTTTTCGCACACAAATTATCAAAATTCAGAAGACCAAGTTTTATATGCCCCAATCCAATTTTGTCAACAAAACTGTTGGAACAGTTAGTACTATCATCACACGATTTTAAAGAAATAATGGCAGATAAACAATTAAGATTAGATTTCTATACCCAGATTTTGTGTTGAGTTTTATTCACTAAATCAACCTTTATCTTGAGTTTTCGAGACGACACAAAAGTGTGATCAATTTTAGCGGAAAGTGGTGAGTGGGCCATTATTCTTTTAACCATTTCAAGTACTTAAAACACCTGGGTCGTATATGACCAGGAACATGAAAAAAATGACAGGTAGGGACAAAAACTTTTCTTTGAGATGACTGTGTTGATGCAACTGTCGCAACAGTTTGTGAAACAGTAGATTGTTTAACAAAATTGATTTTTCTTTTTGGATCTTCTTTTTGTTTCAATGCATCATG